ATGGGTACTCAATCATTGTATAACTGAAATCCAAGCACAAAAATTTGTACTTCTACAACTGTACCTCATGGTGTTTCACTAATAAAAATTAAAAAACAAGTCAAAAAATAAATATTTGAACTTTAAATTCAATTACTATGCCATATAACTCAATTTTCAGGTTTATTTTAGGGGCAGAAAAATCAGAATCAAGTTTGTCATCATCAGATATACTATAAAATATAAAATAATAGGAAAAAATTTAATTTTTTAAACTGAGCTATATTTTAAGTGATTCACAGTACTAAGGGGATCAAGTGTAAAGGATTGTTTTATTTACTTTCAATAATTCCTAGGTTCTCAAAGATTTGCTCAAATGAAATGTTCACTCCTAAATCATACTAAATAATACTATTTATCTTTGTTCTCGGAGAGCCTGGCAAGCTACCGAAAGCATCTCGCCCACATGGCAAAGTTTGGCAAGCTACCCGTGGCCTATTTGATATGCCAAACACAGTAACAACAAGTGTCACAATGGAGACATTACTGGGCCCGCTCGAGCAAATCGATGGACAACTGGTGGACGTTGCTACAGTGCTACCTAAAATTAATATTACTTCTTTTTTTGGGGGGGCATACCTAGCGATGCACAGGTATTACTCCTGGCTATGCACCCAGGAGTTACTCCCGATGGTGCTCAGGGGACCATATGGGATGCTGGCGACCGAACCCAGGTTGGCCGTGTGCAAGGCAAATGCCCTACCCGCTGTGCAGCTTAATTTGTGGCTCCAGCCTCAAATTAATATTGTTTTAAGTACAAAAAAAAGGTCAAATTAACTCCTCTCAAAACTCAAATATAACTTTTATAAGTGGAAGCCCACTTCAAATAGTCTGATAAATAATTTGAATAAAAGTATAGCTTTAAGGAATGCATGCAGGTAAGAAATGCTGAAGAGAAAAAGCACACCACACTGTATTCTGATATTGGAGAAAACAGCAGCATTTTCTCAAATGACTGCTGCCATTCAGTTGTCTGGTGATGGAGACTGAATGTGTACATGGTCTGTTTCACCAGCAGGGTGAGCTCGGTCCTCTACATAAACGTTTCTATGTAAATCTCATGGAAGCTAAAAGAAATCTTTTCTATAGTTACAAGCATGGGTGAATACATGCATAAAAGCAAACTATTAAATATGATTGTTGACTAAAACTAATTTATTATTTACTATTAAATATGATGGTATAAAAATTTCATAGAGCCCTCCCGGTGATTGTCGATTTGCTCGAGCGGGCCCAGTAACGTCTCCATTGGAGACTTTGTTGTTACTGTGTCTGGCATATCGAATACTCTCGGTAGCTTGCCGGGCTCTCCGAGAGGGGCGGAGGAATCGAACTCGGGTCGGCCATGTTGGCCGCTTGTAAGGCGAACGCCCTACCCGCTGTGCTATCGCTCCAGCCCTAAAAATTTCATAGAGCAGCCCTACAAAAAGAGCTTTAAAAAGTAATTACTATATTAAGATTCTACCACATGTTTTGTAGTCACAGTGTCACCAAAGTAAAATTATATTTTACTGAAGTATTTAAATCTCTCCTATTTTTCTTATTACTAATCTTTATTGTTTTCTCACTTGTATTTGCTAATTTTTGTTTTGCTTTTCCTATTTTTTTTTAATTCCACGTGCTTGGTTTTTCATCTTTTATAGGATTATGGTTTAGCTCTATACTAAACATTAAAATAAAATCAATTATTTTCAGTGTAAATATATAGTATACAAAGCATATTGAAAATATTTCAAATTTTAAGTGTACAATAACTTTAAGCAAATATTATTACCAAATACAAATTTTATTTATTAATTTATTTTGCTTTTTTTAGGTCACACCCAGCGATGCGAAGGGGTTACTCCTGGCTCATGCACTCAGGAATCACTCCTGGCGGTGCTCAGGGAATCATATTGGATGCTGGGAATCCAACCAGGGTTGGCTGCGTGCAAGACAAACGCCCTATCCACTGTGCTATCGCTCCAGCCCCCAAATACAAATTTTACATATAAAATATTTCAGAAAATTTAACCACAATTCTGAACAAACTGCCAAATATAGAGGATTATTTCATCAACATAAAGGAGAAAGTGCTTAATAACTGACCTAGTAGAAGAAGGCACTATCACCAAATGTCTTCCAATGCAGCTTCAAATGGTTGGGTATAAAAGTTTATCCATAGGATTATAAGATCAAGTTAACCTACATATGTATTAAAAAGGATGTTTAAGTCAATACAGTTCAATGCCACCTTAAAAATCAAACACATTAGTTTATAATGCGAAACTTACTCAGTATTGTCATGACATTATAAAATAAATAAACTGCATCCTTAATAACAAATTGCAATCTTCAGATTAGTTATGTGGATAGATTATTGCATTATTCACAGAAAAATTTTACAAAACAAGAAAGCGTACATGCTGTCTGAAAACCCAGAAAACAGGAGCAGGTATTAAAAGCAGAAATAATGGTGCCTCGCCTGGACTCCTTAACCCCTCCTCCTCTATACCACATGGACGCTCAGACTGCAGAAAGAGCTGTCAGAAACCTAAGAAACTGAGATGGGACATTTTGGCTTTCAAGTAACTTTTAATACCTAATAATATATATAATTTCTTAGTCTTTTAACAAAGAATACACTGAACTAACAACATTTTTAAGTTATGCAACTCAGATTTATGTAAAAACAATTGTTTCCGATAATGCTCAATAACATTAAAGGTATATTACAGAGATAGGTATATTATTATGGCCATTCGCTTTGAAAGAAATTCCGAGAATAAACATAGCTTTCAACGTTAATTCACACAATGAATATATGACCAACTTTAATTTTATTTATTTATTTTTTGCTTTTTGGGTCACACCTGGAGATGCACAGGGCTTACTCCTGGCTCTGCACTCAGGAGTTACTCCTGGCGGTGCTCAGGGGACCGTATGGGATGCTGGGAATAGAACCCGGGTCGGCCACGTGCAAGGCAAACGCCCTACCCGCTGTGCTATCTCTCCAGCCCCGACCAACTTTAATTTTAAATGGTATATCTGCTGACTAAAAAATATGCAAAACATTTAAAACACATACACTTCAGCAAAATTAATGGATACTTCTTTTCTATAAAATTATGTAAAGGGTTTAAATTAACTTTTATCTTTGACTTTAGTGAATTTAAACTATGTGTAATAATAATATTATCATCCATATAGGAAAGGAAAAAATCAAGCTCTCACTATTCGCAGATGATATGATACTATATCTAGAGAATCCTAAAAGCCTCTACCAAGAAACTCCTTGAAACAATAGACTTGGACAATAAAGTCGCAGTACCCAAAAATTGTGCCCCAGAAAATCAAGTACCTCGGAATCAGCCTAAGGAGTAAAGGACCTCTACAAAGAAAACTACAAAACGCTACTCCACAAAATAAAAGAGGACATGAGGAAATGGAAACATATCGCCTGCTAATGAATAGGAAGAATGAATATTGTCAAAATGGCAATACTCCCCAAGGCACTATACAGATTCAATGTGATCCCTATGAAGATAGCCATGAAATTCTTCAAAGAAATGGATCATCAAGCACTCCTAAAATTCATTTGGAGCAACAAATGCTCACGAATAGCTAAAGCAATTCTTGGGGAAAAGGGTGGGGAGGCATCACCCTCTCCATCCTCAAACTCTACTACAAAGTGGTAAGAATAGTTGTAATAAGTACCAGGAGGTCTGCTCCACGTCTTAGAAGCCGGCAGCACATGCTGGGGGAAAGGGCAGTTCAGACAGAAAAGGAAACACCAAGTAAAGGGTGTTTGGAGTACTCGCTGGGGATGCAAGATGCGTGCTGAAAGGCTGAAAGTAGACTATAGACCGAACACGGTGGCCACTCAATACCTCTATTGCAAACCCCAACACCCTAAAGGAAAGAGAGAGAAAAAGGGAATGCCCTGCCATAGAGGTGGGGTGGGGTGGGGGTGGGGTAGTGGGCAGGATACTGGGTTCATTGGTGGAGAATGGATGGGCACTAGTGGATGATGGGTACTTGATCATTGTGTAACTGAAAACCAAATACGACAGTTTGTAAGTCTATTTACAAACTAGTTACCATGTAGCTGTACATGGTATCTCACTAATATATATATATTATCATTACAACATATAATTATAAATTAAACTCATAAAAATTAAATTTAAAAAATTCAAGGAGATTAATCTTTACAATATAATTAAGGGAAAAGGTTTATAGAAATACGAACTACCTAGTCATGCATGGTGTCCAGTATTTGATTTAACCAGTCATATATAACGTAAAATCTTCTTGAGATGCACATGTCAGTCATTTCTTGGAATTATTTAAAAAAGGAAATCTATCAAAACAAAAAATAGATTAATTTCTTACATTTCAGATATTTATCATTTTTCTCTAAGAAAGCATCTTTAAATAAACTTAATCACTTACGACAATTCCTGGCCAAGTTTGTGTTGACAAGGACACCAACGCCTCCAACACCTCTTTTATCGCATGTTCCGAGGAACAATTCTTCTCCAGTGTCGAAAACGGCATGGTGAGATTCGTGCCTTCTTGTCTCGGTCAGACCAATGATGTCGTACTTGATCATTCGCGCTTGTACCATCAGGTCCTCGATGGATGCATCTGATGCTAGCGTACGTGCATTGAAAGTACAGACGATCATTTTTGTCTTCCTTCGTTGTGGCAGCCTAGGTCGGCCTTGAGATTTTGTCGGCCTCTCCTTTCTCATCCTTCTCAGGGCTGCCATGTCGGTGAAGCCTTCAGGGTCAGGTGAATGAGACCAGTTGTAGTTACTGGTTTTGGCATATCGAATACACAGCGGATAGCTTGCCAGGCTCTTCCGTGCGGGCGGAATACTCTCGGTAGCTTGCCAGTCTTTCCGAGAGGTATAGAGGCTTTTGGGGTGACCTCTAATCACCCTTGTAGGTGTTGCCATATTTGAACCCTATCAAATATGGTACGACAATTCCAAACTATTCGAGGAGCAGCTGAAGAAGTATGACCAGCTGAGGGTCTACCTGGAGCAGAATCTGGCTGCCCAGGACAACGTTCTCCGGGCACTGACCGAGGCAAATGTGCAGTACGCGGCCGTGCGGCGGGTGCTCAGCGAGCTGGATCAGAAATGGAATTCCACACTGCAGACCCTGGTGGCCTCCTATGAAGCCTACGAGGATTTGATGAAGAAGTCTCAGGAGGGCAAGGACTTCTATGCCGACTTGGAGAGCAAGGTGGCGGCTCTCCTGGAGCGGGCACAGTCCACCTGCCAGGCCCGCGAGGCTGCCCGTCAGCAGATTCTGGACAGGGAGTTGAAGAAGAAGCCGCCACCCCGACCCACAGCCCCGAAGCCACTGCTGCCCCGCAGAGAGGAGGGGGACGCGCTGGAGACAGACCTGCCTGAGGAACTGCGCAGCCTGCCCCCCGACATGGTGGCCGGCCCCCGGCCTCCTGACACCTTCCTGGGAACGACTGGTCCCCTCCATTTTCCTCCTGGTCCCTTCCCCACCTCTGCAGGGCCAGGACCCCACTATCTCCCAGGCCCCTTACCCCCTGGTACCTACCCAGGCCCTGCCCAGATACTGCAGCCTAGGGTACCTCCAGCCCCCGGGCACCCTGCAATGGCCATGGCACCTAGACCTGCCCTCTACTCAGCTCCCGGCTATACACCAGAGCTGGGCCTGGTGCCCCGTTCCTCCCCGCAACATGGTGTGGTGAGCGGCCCCTACGGGAGGGTTGGGCACCCCCAGCCCAGTGCAGGCCTGCCCTCAGCCCCACCCTCCCAGTTCTCAGGCCCTGAATTGGCTCTGGGGGTTCGGCCAGCCACCACCACAGTAGATAGCATCCAGGCCCCCATTTCTAGTCACACGGCACCACAAGCAAACCCAGTCCCTGCCCCTCCCCCGCAGCCTTGCTTCCCTGTGCCACCACAGCCTCTGCCTGTTCCTTACACCTACCCACTAGGACCCAAGCAGCCCCTCACAGCTCCCCCGACCCAGCACTTTTCTCCTGGAATCCCTACAGGTTTTGCAGCACCAAGGATGGGGCCTCAGCCTCAACCTCACATCCCACAAGCTACCTTTGGGCCCCAGCCCCACCAGCAGCCTCTGCCACTTCAGCACCCACATCTGTATCCACCCCAAGCCCCAGGACTCACGCCCACACAATCCCCCTATCCCTTTGCTCCTCAGCCTGGTGTCCTGGGGCAGCCACCACCTGCAGTGCACCCTCAGATCTACCCTGGCCCCTCTCAGGACCCACTGCCCCCCCATTCAGGAGCACTGCCTTTCCCCAGTCCCGGGCCACCTCAGCCTCCTCATCACTCTCTGGCCTATGGCCCTGCCCCCTCGCCCAGGCCTCTAGGCCCCCAGGCAACCCCTCTCTCCATTCGAGGCCCCCCACCGGCCAGCCAGCCTTCCCCCAGCCCCCACCTGGTGCCTTCACCTGCCCCCTCTCCGGGGCCCAGCCCGGTCCCTCCACGGGCCCCTGCTGCAGAGCCGCCATCTTGCCCGCGCCGGGGCGCAGCCACTGCAGATCTGCTCTCCTCCAGCCCTGAGAGCCAGCATGGTGGCACCCAGCTTCCTGGAGGAGGGCAGCCCCTGCTGCAGCCCACCAAGGTGGATGCCACAGAAGGTCGGCGGCCTCAGGCCCTGCGGCTCATTGAGCGGGACCCCTATGAGCGCCCTGAGAGGCTGCAGCGGCTGCAGCAGGAGCTGGAGGCCTTCCGGGGCCAGCTGGGTGATGCAGGGGCTCTGGACACTGTCTGGAGGGAGCTGCAGGAGGCCCAGGAGCAGGATGCCCGGGGCCGCTCCATTGCCATTGCTCGCTGCTACTCCCTGAAGAACCGGCATCAGGACGTCATGCCCTACGACAGTAACCGTGTGGTCCTGCGCTCTGGCAAGGACGACTATATCAACGCCAGTATGGTGGAGGGGCTCTCACCGTACTGTCCACCCTTAGTGGCCACTCAGGCCCCCCTGCCTGGTACAGCAGCTGACTTCTGGCTCATGGTACATGAGCAGAAAGTGTCCGTCATTGTCATGCTGGTGTCTGAAGCTGAGATGGAGAAGCAAAAGGTGGCCCGCTACTTCCCCACGGAGAGAGGCCAACCCATGGTGCATGGCGCCTTGAGCCTTGCACTGAGCAGCGTCCGCACCACTGACACCCATGTGGAACGGGTGCTGAGCTTGCAGTTCCGGGACCAAAGCCTCAAGCGCTCACTCGTGCATCTTCACTTCTCCACTTGGTCTGAGTTAGGCCTGCCTGACAGCCCCAGCAAGCTGCTGCGCTTCATCCAGGAGGTGCACTCACATTAAATAAACTAGTAACTTGATAAAACAGAACTGAGCTTGAAATTCACTAGAACAAACTAACAGTAGGCACAAACTAGGCAAATTTTCAGCAACTGATTAGTTTCTCATATTTTATGTGTTTCTAATTTCTCTAAGAGTTTCTATAAATAAACTACTTCATAAAAAAGAATTGAGCTTAAAAATTCACTAGGACAAATGAATACTAGGCACAAAATGGGCAAAATATCAGGTAGTGCAACAGGCAGAGTGCTCTCATTGAGCATGTAGCCAGACTTGATCTTCAGCACCCTGATCATCATCAGGACTGAGCCCTGAGCACAGGGACAGGAGTAAGTCCTGAGCACGCCCAGGTGTGGCTTAATCAAAGCCCACCCACAAATGTTTTCCCTCAATTCCCTGTTCTGTCACAATCACATCTCAGGGTTCATTCCCACTGCTGACTGTCAAATACACTTACTTTGCTTCTTCATCCTCCACATGAGGACGATCATCTGGCATTTGTCTTTTTCTTCTCAGCTCACTTATTATAACAGCTTCCAATTCCATCCAAGTTTCAGCCAGGTGAACCTTTCACCTCTTCTCATATTTGAGCGGTACTGCACGTGTGTTTGTACAAGCTCTTTATCCACTCATCTCTTGTGGGCACTTGCGTTGTTTCCAGATCCTGGCTGCAGTCAACAATGCTGTGATGAGTACAGGTGTGGAGATGTCCTTCAGGCTGAGCCAAACCAGTCTCTCCAATGAAAAATGAGGTTCCTATCTGGCACACCCCCACTGGCACTTACTCATTTCTGGCTTTGTGTTACACATTTGTGAGTCCCCATGTGAGTGATGTTTTATTTTCACTTTGATTTGCATTTCCCTTATAATCAATGATGACGAATTTCCTTTGCCTCTGGGTCAATTTCACATCTTGAGACCATGTCATTCCTTTCCTTTCCACATTTTTGAATCAGTTTTTCTGATGGAGAGTTGTTTTTTTTTTTTTTTTTTTTTTTTAGTGAAACATCATGAGGTACAGTTGTAGATTTACAAATTTTTGTGCTTGGGTTTCGGTCATACCATGATCAAATACCCATCCCTCCACCAGTGCCCATTTTCCACTACCATGGATAATATCCCTCCCCCCATCCCCCCATCCCCCCGTGCCACTGTGGCAGGGCATTCCCTTTTGTTCTCTCTCTCCTTTTGGGTGTTGTGGTCAGCAAAAGAGGCATTGAGTGGCAAACATGTTCAGTCCATAGTCTACTTTCAACATGCATCTCCCCTCCTGGGAGGATCCTCCAAACACCCTCCATTTGGTGCTCCCTTCTCTATCTGAACTGCCCTATCCCCTAAAATACCCGGCTGGCCTCTAAGCTATGGAGGAATCCTCCTGGTGTTGATCTCAGCTATTCTTGGGTATTAATCTCATATTTTGTTATTTTATATCCCCCAGATGAATGCAATCTTTCTATGTCTATCCCTCTCTTTCTGACTCATTTCGCTTAGCATGATACTTTCCATATTGTACCACTTGTATGTAAATTTCATGACTTCATCTTTTCTAAGAGCTACATAGTACTCCATTGTGTAGATGTACCAAAGTTTCTTTAACCAATCATCTTTTCTTGAGCACTCAGATTTCTTTCAGTTTCTGGCTACTGTAAAGAGTGCTGTAATGAACAAACAAGTGCAGATGTCACTTCGACTATACATTTTTGCCTCTCTGAGATATATTCCCAGGAATGGTATTGCTGGGTCAAATGGGAGCTCAATTTCTAATTTTTTGAGAAGCGTCCATACTGTTTTCCAAAAGGGCTGAACTAGTCGATATTCCCACCAGCAGTGAAGGAGTGTCCCTTTCTCGCCACATCTATGGCAGCATCAATTGCTTTTGTTCTTTTGAATGTGGGCCAGTCTCTGAGGTGTCAGATGGTATCTCATTGTGGTTTTGATCTGCATCTCCCTGATGATTAATGATGTAGAGCATTTTCTCATGTGCTTTTTTGCCATTTGGATTTCTTCTTTGAGAAAGTTTCTGTTCATTTCATTGACCCATTTTTTGATGGGGTTGGATGTTTTCTTCTTGTGGAGTTCAACCAGTACTTTGTATATCCTTGATATCAACCCCTTGTCAGATGTGTATTCGGCGAATATTCTTTCCCATTCTGTAGACTGTCTTTGTATTTTGGTCACTGTTTCTTTGGAGGTGCAGAAGCTTCTTAGTTTAAGAAAGTCCCATTTATCTATCTCTGTTTTCACTTGCTCAGTCAGTGGCGTGGCATCTTTGAAGATACCATTAGCTTCAATGTCATGGAGGGTTTTGCCAACTTTGTCTTCAATGTTCCTTATGGTTTCTGGTCTGATGTTGAGGTCTTTAATCCATTTTGATCTTACTTTTGTACATGGTGTTAGGCAGAGTTCTGAGCCCATTTTTTTGCATGTAGTGATGGAGAGCTTTAAGAGCACTTTATGTATCTTAGATATTAGTCCTTTATCTTGCGTATGGTCTCAAAATCCTTTCAATCAGCAGAATGTCTTTTAATTGTAGGGCACATTGCTCACAGAATGCAGAAGTGTTCTAGTTTGATATAGTTCCGTTTCTGTTTTTATTACCTTTGCCACTTGAGTTCTTACATTTCAGACTTCACTGTGGTCATGATTTTGGAGAGTCTTGCCTATGTATCCCCAATGGATTTTTCAAGATTCAAGTGCAATATAAAAATTTTAATTTACTTGAGTTGATTTTTGTTTACAGGGTGAAAGAGGGGTCTATTTTTCCCTTATTGCTTCTGTTTTATTCTTTTTCTTATTTTTCACGATTGTCTGAGATTTCTAACACCTTACTCTGAATGGAGCAGGTCAAGATCTCACAACGTTTCATAATTGCAAGCACTGTGGGAAAGCACAGGGTCACTCCATACCCAAGTATGATGAAGGCTTGCACCTAATTTCATTTTTTTTAATTGTGACTATCTAGTTTTCCCGTAATCATTGGCTAAAGAGGTTTCCTTGTTCCAATTCATGCACTTCTTCATAAATAAATTGCTCATGCATCTGAGGGTTTCTCCCTGACTTCTCAATCCTATGCCATTGAGAAGAGACTTTTTTTCTTCCGGTACCAACCAATTTTGATTGCTAAAGCTTTGTGTCAGAATTTAAAGTCTGGGGACACAATGCCTCCCATTTTTCCTCAAGATTGCTTTGGCTATGTCAGGAGTTTTGTAGCTTAATGCAAATTTTAGAAAAATTTACTCCATGTCCTTGAATAATGCCACGGAAATTTTTTCAGAATTGCTGTTTCTGTAAACTACTTTGAGTTAAGATAGTCATTTTCAAGATGGCAATTATTATGATCCTTAAACCAAGAATATTTTTCTATTACATTAGTTCATTTTAAATTCCTTTCAGAAGTTTTTCAGTTTTCACTAAATAGGTCTTTTACCTCCTTTGTTAAACTAAGGGGTTTCTGTTTTTTACATGATTGCAATCGGGTTTATTTCTATTCTGGATTTGGGTTTTTTTTTTGTTGTTGTTTGTTTGTTTACATGTAAGAATAAATTAGAATCCTGTGCACTGGTTTTGTAGCCTGCTACTTTACTATATAAATATATTATTTTGAGGAGTTTTTCAGAGGAGCCTTTTTGGGTTCCTACATACGAAATTCCTAACAGTGCTTTGTAGATTTTAATAAGTAAATCTTTCACCTCCTTTCTAAAAATTGATTACACATTACCTAATGTTTTTCATAACTATAAGCAGGATTTTTAAATTAAATCACTCTTTTATCATTGTTTACATATAAAATCACAAAAGATTTTCCTGTTTGCTTTCGTAAGCTGCAACTTTCCTGTAAAGATTTATTGCTTCTAGGAGTGTTTAATGAATGATTGGTTATGCAGTCTTAGGGTTCTTGATATGTCATTTGTAAACAGTGAATTTGATTTCTTTGCCAATTTGAACACAAATTTAAATTTTTTTCTTGCTTAATTTCTGTGGCAGCAGCTATCAGAACTGTATTGAATAATAGTGCTCTCAATATATTGTTACATCCATAACAGCGTTGGGAAGTCAAGCACTAAAGAAACAAATTGTGATTGAAGCCGACTTCAGGTTAACCATGTCACCATAACACTAGAAAATACTTTATCTGTGAAACAAACAAACAAAAAACTATAATGTATTTACAGAATAAAATAAGGGATTCACACTGTGCTAACATACACCTACAGAGAACAAAGGCAGTAAGAAAAATACAAAACCCAAGAAAAGTGAGACAGAAATAACATTTTTCCCTTTCTGATATTTGGGCCATTCTCAGTGGTACCTGAGAGTGACTCCCAGTTATTTGCTTGGGGACTTCCTGTGGACCTTTGGGGGCCAAGCAGTGCCAGGGACCCAGCACAGGAGATTCATGGCAAAACATGCTCTCAAGCCATTTGAGTCATTGCTCTGGACAGAGGATTATTTTTTAAGGGCAATACTGACTCTGTCCCCAGTGGCAATTACTTTTAATATAAGTTTACTCTTCCCCATAAAAAAACATAAATGGCCAAATACATTAAAAAAAAAAGGCCCTCCCGTTGTTCGTCGATTTGCTCGAGCGGGCCCAGTAACGTCTCCATTGGAGATTTTGTTGTTACTGTGTTTGGTATATCGAATACATCACGGGTGGCTTGCCAGGCTCTGCCGTGCAGGCGAGATACTCTCCGCAGCTTGCCGGGCTCTCCGAGAGGGGCAGAGGAATCGAACTCGGGTTGGCCATGTTGGCTGCATGCAAGGCAAATGCCCTACCGCTGTGCTAAATTTTTAAAAACACACAAAAGCCAGTAACCTACTTTATATTATCTAAAGAAATTCTCCAGCTCTAGCGACACACAAAGGTCAAAAAAATGGAAAAAGATTTCCCATGATGGGAGAATTATGCTGAAAGTAGACTATAGACCAAACATGATTGCCACTCAATGCCTCTTTTGCAAACCACAGCACCCAAAAGGAGAGAGAGAGAACAAAAGGGAATGCTCTGCCAC